AAGGTACAATTTTAAAGTCTGTTTTGGGTTTCAAGAATATGAGCTGATTCTATCTGGATTTTGATCTGGAGGTCTGAGACTATGCCGAAGACTTGAGACTGGAGGAACCAAGGATAGAATTGGGCTTCTGAGCACAGTAGCCAGAAAAGTAGGTGACTAGGAGGAATCTGACCAGAGGTGTTGCCTGCATGTAAATACACCTCTCTAGCTAGGCCTCTTTGGGCTTCCCTTGGCAAAGGATTGGAACTCCAGAGCAAACACGAGGGACTTCTTGGGGTCCACAGGTTTTTAGCTCTCCCAGAGGGAGAATCTATAGGTCTTCCTCATGGAAGAACCTCAGAGATCTCTGTCACCAGGAGTTCGACTGTATGGGTATTTGCTAGTGGCATTGTCACCAAAGGGAATTATTTCCTGGACTTAGGGAAAGATAGCTCTTGCATCACCTAAATGTTCTATTGGGGTCTAGAGGAAGGGGCTAGGATCTTAAATCACAAAGTCTGTGTTCTAGTCTCTCAGCCCTGACTAAGAGCAGGGACCGTATCTGTGTCCCTCATCACTACACACCCAGTGCCTAATATAGTGCGTGACTTGTAGTAGGCATTCAATAAGTATTTGAGTGAGTGAATTAATAAGTATATGGATGTATAACTGTGGAAAAGTCACTTCATCTCTCTGAGCTTCCTCTTTTCCCCTTCGTCTATTAAAAAAGAAGTTTGAACTCAATTAACTTTGTCTCTAGCTCTCAAAATATTTCATTAAAAGTTAAGAGAATATCATTTTAGATAATTAACTCCATTGTAAATACTGATGCAAACTTGAGAGCCATTGACATCAGGGGGCGTATCTCGGTTTCAAGGTAGTTAGGCATATAGGTGAGTTAGATTATTTTTGTAATATTCTCAAAACAAAAGCACCATTAAAAATTTCTTGTAGAGAAAGCAGTTGTGACAAAATACTACTATTTGGTGAATTTAACAACAGTAATAATAAAATATTAGATAAGGTAATTGTTTAGTAAACATAAAGTATGTTTACTAAGTTCTTTTAAGTATAGCTGTGGAAATTTGTCTCCCTTTGCAAAAATTTCATACTTTTTTTTTTTTTTTCAACGTTTATTTATTTTTGGGACAGAGAGAGTCAGAGCATGAACGGAGGAGGGGCAGAGAGAGAGGGAGAATCGGAAACAGGCTCCAGGCTCTGAGCCATCAGCCCAGAGCCTGACGCGGGGCTCGAACTCATGGACCGCGAGATCGTGACCTGGCTGAAGTCGGACGCTTAACCGACTGCGCCACCCAGGCGCCCCAAAAATTTCATACTTTTTAGGGACTTAATTTCTTGTGAAATTTTTATTCTGAAGGTAGAGGAAGTATTAATTGTAAAGCAAACAGGTGAATTTCTGTTTGTTTGTTTTTCCTGAAAAATGAGTTTTCTTAAATTGAGATCTAGTGTTTGGACTGTTATGCCCTGTCACATATCAACCTGACGCCTGTGGTGGTGGTTGGTATGTTTTTCCTTGATAACAGTGTGATTGACAAAGCTGGCACCTTACATTTTACTTTACTGTCACTTAATTACTGATTCTGCTTCCTCTGTACTTTCATTGCTTTATATTTGTGTGTTCCTTAACTTAGAATTTAATGTACCTAAATGCTTAACAATCCTACCTGAGTTTGTAAGCTCTTCTGTTGATTTGGCAGTACCGCCTCCTGTTTTTCTCTCAGCTTTATTGAACTATGATTGACAAATAGAAATTATGTATAATTAAGGTGATAATTTCATATACATGTATATTGTGAAATGATTACCACAATAAGGTTAGTTAACACATCCATCACTTCATATAATTACCTTTATTAGGTGAGAACATATATTTATTCCCTTAGCAGCTTACAAGTATACAATACAGTCTTGTTAACTATAGTCACGTTGCTGTAAATTAGATCCCTAGAATTTATTTGTTTTGTGACTGGAAGTTTGTATCCTCCGACCAACATCTCCCCATTTTGCCTATTCCACAGCCCCTGGCAACCACCAGCCTCCATGTCTATGAGCTTGGCTTTTTTAGATTCTGTGCAAAAATGAGATTATACAATTTGTGTTTCTCTTTCTGACTTACTTCACTTAGCATAATGTCCTCAAGTTTCATCCATGTTGTTGCGAATGGTAGAAGTTTTTTTTTTTTCTGAATAGTATTCCCCTGTGTATTTATACCACATTTTCTTATCCATTCATCTGTCCATGGACACTTAAGTTGTTTTCATGTCTTGACTATTTTTTTTTAAGTTTATTTATTGTGTGTGTGTGTGTGTGTGTGTGTGTGTGTGTGAAAGAGAGAGAGAGAGAGAGAGAGAGAGAGAGAGAGAGAGAGAGAG